ACATCTCAAGAAACATAGGAGAAAGGTTTTTCATAAATTTAGTTTCCGAGTCGTTGAATATTTAAAGTGTCAATTTACTTGGATGAATGGTATCGCTGAATGTTGGTATACCCTAGAAATATGAAGGTAATTCGCTTTGTACTATTCGTTGAAATAAACATATAAGATTTCTCAAAACCTAGAATTCTGTATAATAATAATATTTATTACCCTCGTTAAACGGTATATACAAATGTAGCTCCGAGAGAGAAAAACCTTTAATTTTGAATTTATTTACCAAAAACGCAATTTGATATAAGAATGATTTCTTAAATGTCTCTTTATTGTGTGATGGTATTGTACTCAAATTCAATCTTCCAATATTTAGATTATGTACATCAGTCCGGTAACTAATTTTTAAGTAAAGATAATAGGGGCTTTTATATTTTATAATCTTGTAAAAAAGGGAAGTAGAGTGCAAGGTACGCCTCTGAGCCATATTCAACCAACCCAGTTCAGGTGGGATACTCTTTGTCTATCCCTTATGCCAAATATCAGACCAGAACTCTGAGCTTCTTGAACCCATTTTAGTTCCACATTATCAAGGAATGGGCCATACACCACATCAGTAAAGTTGAAGTGGGACAACACTAAAGCTTCGCAGAGCGTGGCTTTAGTATTTTGTGATAGGTAATGTCTATGGGGGTAAATTATTTTTAATATATAATATGCTTTTCTTAGGCACAGAGTAATGTGCTCTCTAAACTTAAGTTTAGAGTCAACCACTAAGCCTAAATCCTTCAATCCTACAACATGTTGACTTGTTGCTCATGTACAGGAGAGGCAGTAGAAAATATAAAGCATGAGCTTTGCATTTTCTGAATTCAGTTTAAATTTATTGTTTTTTTTTTAGATACAGCTTATTGAAAGGAAACCTTTGCTAGAATGCTACTTTTACTGGACTAGCGAACATTTGGCCACCTGTAATGCGCACGTAATAACGATTTCGTGGTAATACCCTTGCATTTTCCGTTTAATCTGGTTTTAGGTCCTCTCATGGAACGGCTCCGCATACGGCACTCTCGGGGCCCTCTTCCGCTAAAAATTGGTTATTAAAAATTACCTCATATTGAAGCAACGTGCAGTACTTTCCACGTGAAAGTTTAAGTGTCTAATTCAAATTATCAAATCAGCAGATATTGGTGGCATGAAGATAACTAGCATTATGTTAAATCTTACTTAATCGGTGAATCTTACAAATAGTCTTTAACCAAAGAGGAGTAATGTTGCATGCAGCTGTGGATGGTACTACTTATCTGAAAGGGAATCTCACTGGGCTTAGTTCATGGAACATGTATACTCAACTGTATACATATTTAGGGAGTCATCTAAAATGACCCATTCCATAATCTGGTACCGAAAAGGAAGAGAGCAGGTACTGCTACCGAGGCGTGGTTTTGAATTGAAGTTGGTGCTGCGAGTGTGGCGTGCGATGCGTTTTGCTGCTCTCCTCTTTTTCGGTACCCAAATATAACTGTATTGGAAATGCATAGTAGTCTCGCTGTTTGACATGTCAAGAGCATTATTATAAATGTAATGCGTGAATGTGGTGGTACAATATGAGGAAGGGCTGTACAAGGTACTGAAGGGATATAATACGTTTTTCGTGCATGAAAGAATTGTGTAGATTGGCGAAAAGATTATAATTTCTCAACACTGAGGTATTTTTTCATTCTGCATTACTGTTTGTCTATTGAATAGCGAATTTAGATGTCTTCAGTTAAAACCATTTGATATGCTGACTTGTATTTTGCACATGTGTATTTGGATATTGTGTAGTGTCGTATTAGATACATTACCAAATTAATTTCTAGAGACTATCGACAATTTTAGACACTTTGTTTAGTCGAACGAATTTGTGCTAGACCATACTTACTTAATTTCCTAACAGCTCAAATAGCTGTGATCTCAAGCTATAGTTAGTCAATCACAAACACTAGGAAATGTACAGGGTATTCATTTGAAAAATAAACACCCTGTATGTAAGGTAATCAGCTGTTGCCTTTTCAAGATGTTTATAGAGAATGATCATTGCCAGTTAGAAACATTGTATAAATAGAAATATTCCATTAAGTAAAACCCAATGCAAGCTTTATGGATCAAATAACGGCGCTCCCCATAAAATATTCCAGCTGTATCTGATCGAAATCGTAAATCCAGCCGCCAAACCCGAAATTGCTAATAGAGTTGACCGGATTTTGCTATTGCGTGTCGGTCTTTTTTCGTCGAAAGAATGAGAAACAGTGTAGGGCTTTCCTTTCGCATACACGAAATGGGAACTGACGTTCCTGGTTTCGACCTGTCCAAACGCCCTATAATTTAGTAGTAATTGAGTCTTATCAACAAATTGACTCATTCGGACGTTAGCGTGTCAAGACTCCTCTTAATTCCCTTCGTTTAAGGTAACTACCTCAGCAGATAAACCTGCGAGAAAACGGGGTATAACATTTATATACTAAGGGCCGATTTCACCAACATTAATATTATGGACCAATGGGAAAATACCTTATCGAAATGCAATTTGACGGAAGCTGTCAAAGCTCTCTGAATATCAGTGATTTCTATTAAAATGTTGAATAAAATCGTGAAAATTCGACTGTATTATAAACAAGACCACTTTTTGATTCCAACATGATGCTTTTGTACAGAGAAAACAGGACAACTTTCATCTATTTTGATTTATGTTATAGGTGTACATTTGACCATTCATTATCCCCTCAGCGAATGGGAATGGGAGAAATAATAGGTCGATTTTCTAGCTGTTAAATTTGGCAGCAAGTTTGGTCGTTTGTTAATTCATGGCAATCTCGAAATTTGTTATTTCAATATACTGTGTGTATATGTGATCATTATAGCTACACATACCTGTTGAATTTGCAAGAAAATAGAATCAAAAATGTATTCCAACCAATTCCTCATCTCTCTTTACATCATAATAGTAATCATTTGTTATAAATTCATGCGCTAATGAATTTCTTCAAAGCAATCAGAACAGTATGGTCGTCCCCATCCTAAAACACCGATATGTGTAAAACATGTTAATCCCTAATGAGTCATATGACACTCCGTCCTATGATAACTCATCTCGATAAGCATACAGTTTGAAGATACAATGTTTGCATTAAACACGATAGTCTTAAATAAACTATGCTTATAATATTTTGCAAATTTTAAGGTCGTCTATTTTCTTACAAGATTCGGTTGCATTCGACTTGTTTAAATTCGACATTAATCACACGACGCACATTGCCAAATCGTTATACTCATACTACTCATAGTAATCAAAGTAACGAATACAATAACCGATTAGTTTGTAGAAGAGTAATTATTAGTAACGAGTACTCGAAAGTTACGATAACCAACACCACTACCACTGGGACGAAGTGTTGACGGATCCCACAGAATTATGTGTCACTTGTCGATATGGTTAGTTTTAAAATATCAGGAGATAATCAGCTGTTATTCAAATCAGTGTATATGTTTTGTGATTCAAATAACGTTTAATATAAATATAATCCAGAATATGGACTCAGTGAAAAAAGAAAAATATTGCAAATTTCTAGTTTTTCTGCAGGCTTTCGGTTTGCTGGTAGCTCTACGACATATATTTGGGTATTTCTAAATCGTTGTGAATATAGTGTGGATGTTTGTTAAGTTCCTGAACAACGAAAAATATTCAACTTTATGGATGTATGGATATTAAAAAACCAGAATGGTTTTGTGGGAATATCAATTTAAGGTGCCATAATGGTTCTGATGAACGGCAAGTAAATGAATGAATGTTTGGAGACGAGCAATATCTATGAACTTTTTGGTAGAGCCAGTCATCAAGTAGGTGCTTAATGACTATCTGCAAGAGGTTTATAGGAAAAAACACCCAGCAGATGATCTTGGATCAGTAAAATCGCATATCAATTGAAGAAAATAATATAGACATGAATAAAAAATCAACAATAGTAATTAAATCATGAATTTTATTCAAAAATATTTTGACTGAATTATATGTAATTTCTTAATATTCAATAAGCTGATGATGTTTCAGTGACAAGATATCATCTCATACTTTGACAGTATTTTGTTTTTAACATTTCATAGCTATTGGTTGCTAAAATCTGTTGATTAGAACTTGAAGCTCATTCGCTGTATTTAACGGGCTGATACCCTATAGGTGGAGAATAACGGACTGTTGTTGGTGAAATTGGCCCTAAATGACGCAGAAAATGCAATACCGACTGGAAGTACTTTTGTGTTTTTCACCACGTCTCCTCCTTATTTTTTCTTGGCCATCAGATGTGTCAAGCAGAATCTGGAATCATCGCTGAGCAAGACTAAATTCCATTCCATAGTCTCTGTCTACCCCATGGCAATCGTTGCCGAAGACGCTGTGGGGTTAGAGGTAGTACCAGACGGGGATGGTATGAAGACAGTCCAGAATACCTTATTTGGCCATGAACTGTTGTCATTATTATTGCCCTTCTAACAGCATCAAACCACTGGTCATGTCCTCTTTTGGCCTGCTAGTAGCCCCGATTTAAATGTGATAAAACGGCTTATAACGAAACACATTTGAGAAACCATCCTCAGAGAGCAATTCCTGAACCGCATGAGAAATTGCAAGAAATTTGGAATACATTTACGTAGAAAGACTGCCAAGGCTAAGACCATGCCAGTAAAAATTCAGCCGGTAAGCGAGGCGTACGGCAACGTAACAAGTTACTAGTTGAGTTAAATTTTGTAGTGTCCGAATATTCAGTTGCCATATATTTTTGTAAGGTTTAGTTTGTTTTTTTTTTTCATTAAAATTAGTTATCAATGAAAACAGATGAGTATTGAAAATATGCCACAATTTCAGTGGCGATTCGTGGTAAAATAAAATAGGTGTTCTGCAAATCCGAGCTTACCTATTTTTCATATGTCAGTTCGATCCTGCGCTCCTTCTTGGCAGCAAATTTGTCGATCACCTTCCCGTTGAAATTTTCCATGGTCGAAATAAACTCCTTTTCAAAGAACATCATTGACAATGCTGTAAGGCGATCTTGGGTCATAGTATTACGAAGAAACATCTTGATTCTTTTCAATGTTGAGAAATTTCGCTCAGCCTCTGACGTTGACATAGGAGTTGTAACAATAGTTTCTAATAGCTTTTTTGTTTCTTTTAGTGTTTCCTCCAAACAATTTTGTATCAAAAATTTCAAAAGATACAGAGTTCCATGTAAATCTCGGCAATCATTCCGTGCATTAATAACAGACAACTCTGTCTTTAAACGACTTTTTTCTAATTTGGGATAAGCCAAGCAGGTAGTTTCCAACTTGTCATCAGGAAACTTACCACGGTATTCTCCAAAGTGTTCGCGGAAAAAAAGGATGCGGCTACCAAATGGTCTTTGTATTGAAATCTGTCATTTGCAGAATTCGCTATATTGTTGCATACTTCTAATGCGGCATCTCGGTGATCGTGACTGCTATTATTACGTCGTCTCCTTTTGTTACCTTGGGGTTCAGTGCAAATACCTTTGGCTTCATTTAATATGTCATCAATTTTATTTCTCACATCGACAATATATTTCTCAAAATTATCGATAGCCGTTTTCACTTGCGCTGGCTCGGTTTTTCTCTTTTGCAACTGGTTGGACAAGATGACGACGTGAGGCGTGACATGATGAAAAAGTGTCAACTAAAACACGAAAACAGAATCGTTTAACATACGGCGAATACCGCAAGCTGCCTTGCAAACGGTTTCATTAGTGAAATTTTGTTCTAGTTCTTCCATTCATTCAATGAGTGATTCTCTATTCTCAAACACTACATTTGTTCTTCGAATATTAAAATTCCTTTGAGTTGTTGCTCCTTGGAGAATTTTTTCCTCACAATTCTGTTCATTACCTCTACGCGTTGACGAGAATTATTAAAAAATCTCGGAATATCTTTCAAATCCCCAAAGAACACCCGGACTTGAGCATTCGCGGAAGCAGCTTGGGACATAATAAGGTTCAACTGATGCGCATAGCAATTCACATAGTGAGTCAATGGATATCTTTGTTTAATTTTTGCCTGTACTTCAGCATTATGTCCGCTCATTACCGCGGCTTCATCATAGCTTTGTGAAATCAGTTTGTTAGGGAAAATCACATTCATATAATTCCAAAAACGTTCTACTGGTTCGCCGTTAAATACGTATCTGAAAATTGTTACCAGTTGGGTTTTCCCCGAAATGTCCGTTGTTTCATCTGCTATTATCGCATCTGTTAATCTGTTTTATTGTTTCTTCATGTCAAACTTTAAGAATACAATCCAGTAGATCGTTTTGTATTTCTTTCGAAGTTCCTTTCAAAATTGAAGCATTTTTTATGTGTTCGCTTGAGGTTGTATCAAGCTCAGCAGATAAATTAATCAGTCCACGAAATATTTCCGGGTTTTGGGAGCTCTCGGTTTCGTCATGGCCCCGTAGCGCCAATTCAGATGCTCCGCAAGATTTTATACCCAGCACCGACCGACCAATCAGATATCGTACTTCGCATTAGATCTGTACGGATCTCTATAACGTGCAGCACCTGCCTATGCTTAAATGGCGCATTTGATTTTGAAGAGAGAGGGAAAAGCAAGCGCGTGCGGCTTGTGTCGAAGTAGTGCACAGGCCCATGAACAATGTTACGCTGCGGTCGCGACGAAAATGACAAGTACACAATTGGATGATTATACTGCTTCCTCAATACCAAACGGACTCAACGCTGTGTCTTGCGGGGGCAGCGTTGCCCGTATTGTTTCTATTTGTGTGATAGCATGGAAAATAAATAATGATCGAGTGACTACTGCTTTTTCGGTTAAGACAAAAGTTTTGGCAGTTCTGCAGCTCTGTAGGACTTAAGGGCCAGCCGCGTTGTGACAATTTGTACATACTACCAATAAATGTTTTCGATATAAGTTTACAGTCTTATTCAGTTATTTTATATTACAATTTGGACAAAATGTAAAGATTTCCGAATATTTAGTGGTTCGGACTGATATCATATAGCTACTTGTGTATGAAATTTACAATAGCCGATATGACAGTAAACAAGACGAATGTAACATCCCTGTACTTCGTCTACACACTACATAAAAGATAGTTTGGCTGCAATAAAGTAGAATCATGTCACAGAATGGCTGTAAAGTTGACAGAAGTTGAATCTTGCACTGATGCAAAGGCTCTTTAGCGGATGCAAGGTTGTTTACAATTTTGTTGTATAACACTGTTAACTACCCCTTATAGAACATCTTAGGTGCCTGAAGTGTCCTACTAGGTGCGCCTATTCCGTCTGTGTAGTTTTTCTAGGAACGCTTTGCCAATGCTCTTGCAATCTACAATGTTGTGTGTTGGGAACGTATATGAGTAATAGGTATCTATAAACGGAATATGAGACGTCATGGCACAACTACATAGTTACATTCACGTCATTGTAAAACCTCATAATCAGCTTCCATTGCTACAAATCCATGACTTACATGTGGTTAAGTAACTTCTGCAAATTATTAAGCTCCTTCTGCGAAGGCTAAACAATTGGCTGACTCTTTTGGAGCTCGACCAACAACAATTGACAAAAAAGATAATCTACCAAATATGACAACATGACTAGTTTACTGACCAAGGTCTACATATCTTACTTACAGTTAGTTGCTCCTATTATGTTTTTTGCCACCAGGATTTATAAAAAAATGTTGTTGGGTATTTGACAGCAGACGTAACATGCCATTCTATCTTTGAGTCTAGATTTCTCGCTAAGTCCATGCCTTTGTTTTATATGCCCCTTGATGTTTTGTCCAGTTAATAAATTTCAATAAGTTCTAAAACCCTGGATGACAGTTATATCAATTTTAAACAGTTTCATAATTGCTTGCAATTGCTTTTTTTGAGCATTCAAATAGCTCCCCTCTATGAATTTCAGAATCAACCTGCTGTATTTTTTGTGATCATTGCCCTGTCGTTCATATTGTCCTGCAGACCAGTCAATATAACTGAAGTATCATCACAGCATATTCTATTAAGGCTAAATTCGCAGGGTATCTAGGTTAGTAAAAATATGATTTACAAGTAAAAAGTGTTATTTAAGACTTTTTATAATAAAACAGAAGTTATTCGTAAAGAGTGTTGTCTCCTAGCTCATTGGCTTCTACTCCCCGACGCGGCAGATAATACGATTTAGTTCAATATCAAATGAAAATTCAAATTCTCCTTATGCTCAAATACTCTGCAAACTCAGTCTTAATACAAGCTGTATTAAAGCTTAATTTAACATATAATCTTTAGGTAAAAAGCTAATAGGTTCAATCTAACTCAAAAAAATACCGTAAATCGACAAGATGCGAAACATATTGAGTCCAGAAGCACTGCACGTACGTATTTTTGATGCATGAATGATAGCCATAATCTATAAATAATCAATGCTGTCTCCATGAAATAAACCCCGCAGCAATTTACCCAAAGAAACTCCGTTCAGTTCCTGGCAAATAAGCTCCTCCATGAACACCACTTCAATTAATTCAGGGATAATACGTTCGCCAAAGGCGTACTTGCAGGAACTATGTTTAAATGAAGGGCTTTTACTGAATGTATGTAATATAAAGGGTGTATCAATAGCAGCGCAATATTTTGGCAGTGATCATGTTATAATGATTGCGACATGACCGATCGATAATAGACAGGCGGGGTTTATGAAAATGAACCATTACACAATAGAACAGCGTATCCTAATTATTAAAAAATATTAACAAAGTGGTGAAAGTTTAGTAGCCACTATTCGAAAAGTGCAGCTAATATTCGGTCGGAATAATGTTCCTACTCCATCCACTGTGAAAAGAATAATGTAAAAATTTGGTTTTGTTAATGATGTGAAACATACGAGAGGAATGAATGAATGAATCTTGAAATTAGAGGCATTCCGGCCAGTGCATAGGCCCGTTAGGCGGGCCCTTATGCACCTCTACAATCCTTAGATCACAAGCCTCGCCCTTTTAGCGAAGTTGAGAGTCGCCTTGAGTCCAAGCTCCTTGACGCCCTGAGGGTCCAAAGTAATGGACCCCAGTATAGTCTGCCTATAGTGGCTCAGAGCTTCACAGCGACACAAAACGTGCGCCGAGGTCTCTTCCTCTACTCCGCAGCGTTCACACGAGGGGTCCTCAGTCACCCCCATCACGTACAGGTGACGCCTTAACGTGTTATGGCCAGACAACAGTCCCACCAGCAACTTCAGGTAGAAGTGATAGGCAGAAGCGTCCATCCTTAGCACTGCCCTTCAATGAGTTCTCGTGCCTGGCGGAGATGTCTGGAGATACTTCTCCATTTCTGAGAGTGTTGTCTTGCAACCCACGTCTCCATTTTCCTCCTAGCTTTATGCGCGGTCACTCATAGAGCTGGCTCAGGACCAACGAGCTTGCTGGCTGATCCTGCCTTCGCCAGAGTGTCCGCCGTCTCATACGAGAGGAGCTCGCTGCGGTTGTTCAGAAGATAATATCAGCCGAGAGTCGATTCGTCGTCGCGCTCAAGAATTGGACATTAAAAGCGTATTCTAACGAAAGATCTACACCTGCATGCCTATAAAAATCTGAAATCAGACACTGTATCAACGAGATACCACGACATGTGTTCAAAACTGTCACCAGTTTTATTAAAAGAGTGCGCATGTGGCTGCGTAGCCGGGGCAGGCATTTACCTGATGTGTTGTTTCATACCTCACAAAATTCAAAATTTTAAGTGAAAATCAATATGGATTTACAGAAGGGAAGGCTACATCGGACGCAATAACTAAAATTGTAAATCAAATACATCAAAATATTGATAACAGAATCCCTTCAATCTGCATTTTTATTGATTTAAAGAAAGCTTTCGACACAGTTAATCACAAATTATTATTAGAAGCATTGGAGAGAATTGGTTTCAGAGGAAACGCGTACTCACTGATCGAAAGTTATTTGTCAAATCGCCCACAATCTGTGCAGATATCAGGATCATTTAGTAAAGAAATGTATATTAAGTGTGGTGTCCCACAAGGAACTGTCTTAGGTCCGCTGTTATTCAATATATATTCAAATGATATTTTCCAAATTAATTGTGTTGGCAAAATAACTAGTTTTGCAGATGATACTGCAATATTATATGAAGGCACTGACTGGTCTGATCTGAAAAATGTAATTGAAAATGATTTTATCAAAATTATTCGGTGGTTTAACAGTAGAAAATTAAGCATTAACTACTCTAAAACACATTTTTTACCATTTGGATCTTATACTAGACATCTGCCAAATTACACAAATTTCTCCTTCAATATTAATGGTCAAAAAATGCAAATTAATAGAGTGCCCAATATAAAATACCTTGGAGTGGTCTTGGATCCTCACTTACGATGGGACATCCATGTCAATTATATTTTAAAGAAAGTTAGATTTGTATCCTACAAAATTAAATACCTTGGGAATATATTGACAGAAAAATATTTCTTACATAGTATCTCTCACTACCATAAATTTGTAAACAGCGACCAAAAAATTAAACTTAATCATTATACCAGGTGGCACAGTAGTTCCTCAACCGCATAAATCTATAATGCAGCGATCATATCTCTATTTAGCGCCTAAATTTTATGAAATTATACCTAAAGACTTAAAAGATTTACGTGTCGGAAATTGTTTCAAAAGAAATTTAAAAAAGTGGCTACATTCTATATCTATTACTGAAATTCATAAACTCATAAATACGAACATCAACTAAATACATAATCTACTGTAGCTAATTTTTGTCCTTTTTTGTCATTTGCATTCTACAGTTTCAATTTAAATTTATTGGTCCATGTACAGGCGATGCCTTCTATTGGGCCTGTTTTGATTTTATATTTATTTACTTATATTGTTTGTTATCTTTGTACATTGAGTGAATAAATATTATTATTATTATTATACATAACTCCAAAGTGTATGCGCCATAATCCAATAAATATTTCAGTTGTTTGTTTAATAGAACCTTGAAATATTGCATCCCTATTGACACATCCTTTAGGAAAACCAAACTAGAGGAATAACATTAGAATGATCAATAGGAAACTGATAATGATAAATGCCAGATATAGCAACAAAAGAGGGCTGAACATAGATGTAAAGATCACTTGCGCAATAATACTAACCTTAACAAATAATGAGACAAAACAATCATGTATTTTTGACAACAGTTTGCAACAAAAAACGGTGAACCATTGGACGTATTCTACACAAATAGGCCATGGTAAACTAACGTAGAGCGAGACCGCAAACGAAAAGTCACGGAGGATCTAAAATTCATAACCTTATGCCGACCGGATTTAGTTTTCGTTTTCTTACAGATGATTAACACCTAAGATTACTTAGTAATTTCATCCTAATCTGATTCTAGAGGCAATTACCGCCTCAGGTATAGTTAGTGAAAATGCTCTTCAACACCTCTGGGTCATTCATCTCGAACCGCAATATGAACATGCATCAAAATGAAGACTATAGGATAAATTTGAAATGCTAGAATTTTACCGAGTGCTGCCCGATATTTGAAGGAAAGTCTTGGCACCCAGTGGCCTTAGTACCTTGATTGAGGCTTCTTAGGCCATACCATTCCGGAAGTCCACTCATGACAGTCTTATACAGTGAGAATTAAAAGACGGTGTCAAAGGTATTAGTAAAAAACTTTGTTTCATGAAGATGGCGCAAATGCGGCTCTCACTGAAATTCCACTCCCAGGCTTCAGTTTTGATGTATGCTCATGGGGGTTCGTTACATTATACAATGTACTTTCTGTCACAGCGATGATACCGCTGTTGTTCGTTTCGTTCATTGCCCTACCAACAGCTGTCCACGGTTGGTCGCCTGCGATCGAACGGGCTAAGGCCCGTATCGTCAGTCGTCCCTACAATTGTAGGGCGCCTTTATGGCCTCCTGGATTGTCATAGTTTTCTATTTATCCGTGACAGCGCTCCATTTTGAGGTTATGTCACAAACATCTATTTGCATCAAATTGTGCTTGCTTTTGAGTTATATCATGTTTTATCAGCCTGAAATTTCCTACAATTCAAAAAGAAAACATATTTTCACAATAGGAGAGCGCTGACGCTGACACGGGACGGGTGCAATCTAGGAATTTTTGAAGGAGAGAAAGCAGTATGACAATCTAGGAGGCCATAAACGTGCCCTACAATTATTGTAGGGACGACTGACGATACGGGCCTAAAGCAGTATGTTTAATGCTGCTATCCTTAACACGTTAAAGGCCTAGAAAAATGATTAAAAAAATTTCCAACAGGCCAAGGAAAAATTATGAGTCAGGTATTCTTCTAATGACTTGTTTAATGCAGAAATGTACTAAGTGACATATAAATCCGAACACCCAGTTTAAATGGTTTTATTTTAATAAAAGTTGGTGAATGTATCTATCTTACTGTCAATAAGAAGTGAAAAAATTTTCAGCCTTATCAGTTGGACATTCCGGTTTTCATACTGCTTTTTTTTAATTCACTAACGCTCTAAAAATGAATATTTCAGCTGCAGTAAAGAATCAACGTTGGCGGATTTTGGTTCTTGACATCCTTTACGATAGGTTACGATGCCTAGAGTACGGAGACCTGTACGATTTCGTCACTGTATAGTGGGACTTCGAGAAGCTGGACTATCTTTTCGGGCAATTGCAGTTAGAGTGCAAAGAAGTGTAGACACTGTGGTTAGGTGTTGTCAGGCATGGCTTCGAGAAGGCCGTACGCAAAGAGCAAGCGGCACTGGACGCTGCCGTAGAACAACAGACCGTGAAGATCGCCGTCTAAGATTATTGGCCTTAAGGGACCGTTTCTCCACTACCAGGTCCGTTGCAAATGAATGGTTTGCAGAAAACGGAAGACCTATTGGCATGCGAAGTGTTTACCGACGAATGAGAAGTTTTGGCTTGTTTTCATACCGGCCACACTAGGTACTCCCTTTAACTCGAGAACACCGACGTAATCGCCTTGAGTGGTGCAGACAACGGTCACTCTGGGATCAGGAATGGAACAGTATTGTCTTTAGTGACGAGTCTCGATTTTGTTTAGGCATGCATGATGGTCGTGCCAGGGTTAGAAGGCGACGTGGTGAAAGGAGGAATCCACATTTTGTTGTTGAAAGACATGCTCATCACACTGTTGGAGTTATGGTTTGGGGTGCTATAGCTTATGGTTCTAGGTCACCGTTAATCTTCATCAGAGGTAACATCAACGCGCAGCGTTATATCCACGAAATTCTAGAACCCCATATTTTACCCTATCTTGACACCCTGGCAGATCCAACTTTCCAACAAGATAATGCCCGACCACATGTTGCAAGAGTCACAATAGACTTCTTTCAACATAGTGATGTCACATTGTTACCATGGCCACCAAGATCTCCCGACTTATCCCCAATTGAGCACGTGTGGGATATGATGGGTAGGAGATTGCTCAATTTGCAACGTCCTCCTCAGACTCTAGAAGCACTTCGAGAGGAGTTGGTGGTTGCCTGGAATGAGAGGACATTGACACCCTGATCAGAAGCATGCCTAGGCGCGTTGGAGAATGCGTAGCACATCAGGGTGCATCCACACATTATTAAAGGTCAAAGAGCTTTAAAGCAGTGCAGTCATTTTGAAATTTTTATCATTTACTTATTATGCTTCATTAAGTACTTATACAAAATTTTATTAAAATAAAACCATTTAAACTGGGTGTTCGGATTTATATGTCACTTAGTATACGTTTGATTTATTTTTTTATGATCTCTCAAGGTATTTTCACTTCAATTTGTTAGCAGGACTCAGGGACCGCCGTGGCAGGGCTGGATGCATATGCCTAGCATGCCATGGCGGTCCAATTTGCGGTCAGGTTTGACCTGTCTGTTCAATTTGCTACGATAGAGTAGATGTTGGTACTCGGATGATACTAATCACTTACAGTTGGTCCCCTTTACATCCGATGGTTCCTTCATCCGGCATGGCCGCCCAAACTGTAACATAACGCGAAAGCAGAGGTAATTGGTCTTTTAATTTGAGATTTCTTGCGGCCAAATCTTGCTTGTTGACAAATCGACTCAAATAAAAATGATTATTATTATTATCATTATTATTGACCTTGGACGCTACGCAGGTTTCTGATTCAGCGTCGCACCAGTAGACTCGAACTTTCTGACCCACGACCTGATCACACTTTCACTACGACATTAATTTAGATCATGCAAACCAAACTTAGAGCAAACAGACGCCGCGCTGTAGTGCACCAGTCTCCATTTTTGTGATAAGTCTTAACACAGAGCGTACGCTGCTCACAAGTGAAACGCTCCATGGCGACTAAATTTCCGAGCCTGTCAGCAATGCGGCTTTAAAATTCGTACGCCTTTTTGGTCCAGCCTGTACTTCACTCGTTACAAAATCACGTGAAGTAAGACGATATTGTAAATGGTGTCATAATAAACAAAACAGCGACAGAAATGGATCACATCAGGTATCGTAAATTCTGTTAATGAAAAACATCGTCTACATTCTGAGTACTTGATGCAGCCAGAAAATGAGCAAGTGAGGATAAGATATCTGGATATAATAAAAAATTAGAAAAACTCATCCAAAATGCTAAATACAATTTTTACAAGAAACAAATAAATAATGACAAAGATACTCCTAAGGACTTGTGGAACGTAGTTGATAAACTCTGTAAAGGCAGTTCTAAATGTGCAGTTAAGGAAATAGTTGATCAAAATAAGTCATATGATTCGCCAATAACAATTGCGAATAAGTTTAACGATTTCTTTATAAATATTAGCAAATACTATGCTGAACGCATTGTGAGGCCAAACAAAAATAGACCGCAAAGAAAAATAAATCAAAGTACATTTTTCTTAGAGACGGACGGTAACCCGGTTTTGACAACTTGAAGTCCGAAATATTTAAATATACTGCTGACATTGCTTCAATGCCTTAATTGTCATTTTTAATCAACCGGATCTATATTTCTAATGTCCCAGAAGTGTTCAAAGTAGCTTTAGTTATACCTGTCCATAAAGGTGATGTAAAAAGTATGCGGAGTCGATTTGAACTAGTAGACATATCGAGGTTTTTCCTCTGTCTGCTCCCGTAAATCACTGTACGTAGATACGTCTATGCTGGCGGCCTGGTATTAGATTACAAAATAAACAAATGGAAAACAGCGAGGGATACGGTCCGGGTTTCCGTATAACCACGAGCAATCATTGGTTTCCGTACGTAGTGTAAAGGCTAATATAAAAGTAATTTGGCTGTTTGTAGACTAAATATGACTTTCGATCGATTGAATCGTGACGTATTGATTCTCTTGATCGTAATCCTTTTGAGACGTCCAAAACAACCTCGGGACGTTTTTTGACGTCATGTACAGGGTCCGGCATGAAGAATGGATGGTACTCTCCGCCTATTCGGGCAAGAGTTGTGTGGAGAGTGTCAGCGTTCCTAGCATTTTCACCAGTAGACATTTTGGAGCAGTGGACGGTTGAGCATCACGTTTCCGCGTACGATTGTTTTGTCCATCTATCTATACTAAGTGACATATAATAATAATAATAATAATATTTATTCACTCAGTGTACAAAGATAACAAACAATATGAGTAAATAAATATAAAATCAAAACAGGCCCAATAGAAGGCATCGCCTGTACATGGACCAATAAATTTAAGTTGAAACTGTAGAATGCGAATGACAAAAAAGGACAAAAATTAGCTACTGTAGATTATGTATTTAGTTGATGTTCGTATTTATGAGTTTATGAATTTCAGTCCTAGATATAGAATGTAGCCACTTTTTTAAATTTCTTTTGAAACAATTTCCGAAACGTAAATCTTTTAAGTCTTTAGGTATAATTTCATAAAATTTAGGCGCCAAAATAGAGATATGATCGCTGCATTATAGATTTATGCGGTTGAGGAACTACTGTGTCACGAATTTTGTACCTGGTATAATGATTATGTTTAATTTTTTGGTCGGTGTTTACAAATTTATGGTAGTGAGTGATACTGTGTAAGAAATAAAGCTGTCTTATATCATACATTCGAACATCTGCGTATAAGTTTTCAGTGGGGTAAAGTTTCGGTTTTTTAAATATCATTTTTAGAATACTTTCTTGAAAAACATCTAAATTATAGATATGTGAGGAACATGCAGCTCCCAATGCTAATATACCATATGTGAGATGAGGCTCAATCAGTGCATGGAATAATGTTCGAAGATATTTTTCTGTCAATATATTCCCAAGGTATTTAATTTTGTAGGATACAGATCTAACTTTCTTTAAAATATAATTGACATGGATGTCGCATCGTAAGTGAGGATCCAAGACCACTCCAAGGTATTTTATGTTGGGCACTCTATTAATTTGCATTTTCTGATCATTAATATTGAAGGAGAAATTTGTGTAATTTGGCAGATGTCTAGCATAAGATCCAAATGGTAAAAAATGTGTTTTAGAGTAGTTAATGCTTAATTTTCTACTGTTAAACCACCGAATAATTTTGATAAAATCATTTTCAATTACATTTTTCAGATCAGACCAGTCAGTGCCTTCATATAATATTGTAGTATCATCTGCAAAACTAGTTATTTTGCCAACACAATTAATTTGGAAAATATCATTTAAATATATATTGAATAACAGCGGACCTAAGACAGTTCCTTGTGGGACACCACACTTAATATACATTTCTTTACTAAATGATCCTGATATCTGCACAGATTGTGGGCGATTTGACAAATAACTTTCGATCAGTGAGTACGCGTTTCCTCTGAAACCAATTCTCTCTAATGCTTCTAATAATAATTTGTGATTAACTGTGTCGAAAGCTTCCTTTAAATCAACAAAAATGCAGATTGAAGGGATTCTGTTATCAATATTTTGATGTATTTGATTTACAATTTTAGTTATTGCGTCCGATGTAGCCTTCCCTTCTGTAAATCCATATTGATTTTCACTTAAAATTTTGAATTTTGTGAGGTATCGAATCATTCTAGTAGATAAAACTTTTTCAAAAACCTTTGCTACACTGGATATTATTGATATTGGTCTATAGTTGTTAACATCTGTTTTTGTTCCTGATTTATGTATCGGTATTATATTACCTTTTTTTAAAATTGAGGGATATATGCCAGATTCAAAGCATTTGTTGATTAGGTAAGTGAGTGGTTCTGTTATGTCCTCGGCTATAATTTTCAAATGCTCGCTTTTAATACCACCGAACCCAGGACTTTTCCGATTTTTTAAGGACATAACAGTGGTGTATACTTCACGTTGCTCGACTTTATCCAAAATAAAAGAGTTCAAAGTTCTTTTTGGAGGCTGAGTATTTTGTACATTTGCTTGTATATAACTTGCTAAATTTTCGCCTATGTCAGTAAAGAATTGTACAAATTCATCGCATATCTGTTGAGTATTTTTTAATACTGTTTCCGATGTTGTATTTAACTCAGTGACACACTCTTTAACTTTTGTTTTCCCAGTAATCTCATCAATAGTTGTCCAAAGCCGCTTAGGATCATTTAAGTTATTATTCAATTTACTTAGGTAATGTTTTCGTTTGGTTTGCCTTACAAGCTCTATAAATTTATTTTTATATTGGTTGTAGCAGTCGGTATTCTCTGTAGTTGGCGTTAGTTTCATTACATTATATAGTCTTTCTTTTTCTATTGCCGATGTTATTAATCCTTTGGTAATCCAGGCATTTCTGCTTTTCTCTTTGTGACTAATTATTACTTTATTGGTACTAATATCTATTAGTTTTTTATTTTCTCTATGAACAGTCCCGTTGCTTTGTCTATATTATTTATAGAGTATAATTGTTCCCAGGATTCTTGTTTGACATTTGATATTAGTTTTGAATTATCGACAAAAAATTTGTAATTTTCCTGGTTGTTACTAGCGGTAGGGATGTTAGAATGTTTTTCATTTGAAGATATCAGTAAAATAGTGGAGAAGTGGTCAGTAATATCGCTTTCTAGGATTATTGGTATACACCCAGTTTAAACGGTTTTATTTTAATAAAAGTTGGTGAATGTATTTATCTTACTGTAAATAACAAGTGAAAACACTTTTCAGCCTTATCAGTTGGACATTCCGGTTTTTACACTGCTTTTTTTTTAATTCACTAATGCTCTAAAAATGAATATTTCAGCCGCAGTAAAGAATCAACGTTGGTTCTTGACATCCTTTTGCGATCGGCTACGATGCCTAGAGTACGGAGACCTGTACGATTTCGTCAACTTAGTGAGTTTGATAGGGGCCGTATAGTGGGACTTCGGGAAGCTGGACTTTCTTTTCGGGCAATTGTAGTTAGAATGCAAAGAAGTGTAGACACTGTGGTTAGGTGTTGTCAGGCATGGCTTCGAGAAGGCCGTACGCAAAGAGCAAGGGGCACTGGATGCCGCCGTAGAACAACAGACCGTGAAGATCGCCGCCTAAGATTATTGGCCTTAAGGGACCGTTTCTCCACTACTAGGTCCATTGCAAATGAATGGTTTGCAGAAGACGGAAGACCTATTGGCATGCGAAGTGTTTACCGACGAATGAGAAGTTTTGGCTTGTTTTCATACCGGCCACACTGGGTCCTCCCTTTAACTCGAGAATACCGACGTAATCGCCTTGAGTGGTGCAGACAACGGTCACTCTGGGATCAGGAATGGAACAGTATTGTCTTTAGTGACGAGTCTCGATTTTGTTTAGGCATGCACGATGGTCGTGCCAGGGTTAGAAGGCGACGTGATGAAAGGAGGAATCCACAGTTTTTTGTTGAAAGACATGTTCATCACACTGTTGGGGTTATGGTTTGGGGTGGTATAGCTTATGGTTCCAGGTCACCTTTAATTTTCATCAGAGGTAACATGAACGCGCGGCGTTATATCCACGAAGTTCTAGAACCCCATCTCCCGACTTATCCCCAATTGAGCACGTGTGGGATATGATGGGTAGGAGATTGCTCAATTTGCAACGTCCTCCTCAGACTCTAGAAGCACTTCGAGAGGAGTTGGTGGTTGCCTGGAATGAGATACCACAGGAGGACATTGACCACCTGATCAGAAGCATGCCTAGGCGCGTTGGAGAATGCGTAGCACATCAGGGTGCATCCACACATTATTAAAGGTCAAAGGGCTTTAAAGCAGTGCAATCATTTTGAAATTTTTATCATTTACTTATTAAGCTTCATTAAGTACTTATACAAAATTTTATTAAAATAAAACCATTTAAACTGGGTGTTCGGATTTATATGTTACTTAGTATATTTGGTGCGCTGTATCGCAAACTTGCATCATCGGCCGTTACTTCTTCCAAGACGGTGATGGGTAGTGTTGTTACTGTGAACTCGGAGCGCTATATCGAAATGATCACCAACTTATTTTCATCCGAGTTAAGACGACGTTTCCCATTCTGACGTGTGGAGTTCTAACAGGATGAGGTGACCGCCCACACAGTCAGAGCAAAGCTGAACGTTATTCGCCCTCTCATCGGTTGTCGCCTTATTTCCAGGTTTGGTGAGTTCTTTGGCATCCGCGGTCTCCAGATTTATCCATCAGCTATTTTTTCCTGTGATGATACCCCAAGGCTCGTATATACGAGCACAAGCCCCGAACTCTGGATGGAAGAGGCAAGTCGCCCAAGTTGAGAGAACGATTTTGGAGAGAGACCACGCGAACTTTATTAACCGAAAATATATGGTTGAATGAAAATGAAAGAGTACAAGGTTGAGAACGGTAAACAAACAGGAAACCCATAGATGTAAACTTGTGCATGGGGTTGCACAAATTCCAAAAACCTTGATCTTTTATGGACATTGTAGATATGGATATGTCGTATTTTGTTTAATGTCCAGTTAAGGAATTTTTGTCAGCCCACTCCTTTTAGAGAAAAGGCAGTATGCATGTTTAAGGTAAAATCGATATAAAAAATGTATGTACCCCGCTCTACTTTGAAAACCTGCTGATGTTTGTGGAGCTCATACCTAAAAATTGTATGTAATCATACATCTCATACTGCTATTTGAACAATATCCAAGTTCTGTTTTTATTCAGACGACACTGAATATTGGTAGTGGGAGATTATAGGACATAGGTACATGTATAGGAAATTGTTTTTTTAGTTTTAAAGTACTTCCTCTGTCACGAGCCAAAACCACGTAACCTTTTTTTACTATTTTTGATCACTTATCAGTAATTTGAATTTCTCTTTATTGATTATAGAGTGCTCACTCCTATACCAAACCCTTTTTAATGATTCTATTTTGGTAAATTTTATAGCTTATTGATTGTCGAATTTCATACGTATGATATCTCAGCGACTCAGTATTGTGTTGGAATCTTTTTGACACTAACATTATAGTATTATTAATGATCTTAGAGATTTCCTCATAAAATATTGTTGGTCCCTCGTAGACAGATTTGTTTCTGCATACCGTCTACTCATTGACAACCAGCGCGCCATCTTATGATTTTTA